TGTGTCGAACTACTCGTGTCAATGCTGCAGCACCCGGAGCGGTACGTTGAAAATTTAATTATCAATGACAAAGGGAAGTGAGAGGAGACTGACTTACACAATCAAAAAAATCCCACCAATACAACCCAATCGATTGAAAATAAACCGTGGCCACCACCTACCCACCCCACCGTTACCCATCACCCAAACAAAACGGCTATAATTGCAGGCTCCACGCTCCAGCGCCTCCAAACGACCCGAAGAGTGTGCCTGGCAATGCAGCAGAGGAGCAAGGCGAAGGAACTAGTATCCTCGGTTTGGTCCCACACCAAATTCGCGGATACCTCGGACAGTTCAGGAACCTTTTAGTAACGGGACAACAGTTCGAAAGGTGCACTGGCTGCAGCGAAAAGGTTAGTGAGCGAGTCTGGACGCGTAAAACCTAAATGTGGCTCACGTGTTTTCTTGCCGTTTCTCTTTTGCAAATCATCGAATGTTTCTTTTGTGGCTAGGTTATTCAAGCTTACGAGGCGGAGGGATTCCCGATGCTCCTCCGCGCATTCAACGAGGAAAAGTACCTGGAACAATTGACCGGATTGGACAAGCTTTACGAGGAGAGCGAGGCCGCGTTGGCGTCCGCGGACTGGGCAGAGGGTGGTGGCAATTCTGATGAAGATGATTTCTGAGGCGAGGCGATAGGAACCGGGTGGAGCAAGAGATAAGGCGGGGGGCCAAACGGTGCAATCAATCAATTGGATTTTTTTCCTATAAGCAGCGAACGCTTGTATACATTTTGTATGTACTTGTGCAGACAGCAAACATGCGAAAGTGCGCGAGACGAAGCGACTCGAGTGGAACTGCAGACCGATCAGAACAAGAAGCGTAACGGCACAAAGGGGTCATAAGGGCTTGTGGCAAGGATTCCCGCTGATAAGCCACTTGGAAAGCGGAGGAAGAGGGGATATGGAAGTGATGATAAAAAGCATAAACTATACAGTCGTTTAAAATAATTTTGAGATACACCTCGTGTTACAGGACAACGCGGCCACCCTGTAACGGCCCAAAGAAATCGAAGCTGAGAAATCATATAAACCCAAGACGGAGAAGAGAAAAATGGGAAAAATAAGGAAGGTGATGGCAAATGGTAGGAGTACAATTGCGAGTATGCATATAAAACGTGTGAGAGATTCTATGCACCTGTAAATCACAGACTGTCGGATCAGGGCGTGGTGAGAAATGAAGCAAGTCATCTCACTAACGGGTATCGATAGCAAGGCCCAACGTAATGAACGTTCAGATAAAGCAATCGGCGGTTTGCAAGATGATGAGCCACAATCGCTACCGAGGTGGTTTGGCGGGTTCTGGTAGACTTGTAAACTTTGCGCTCGGCTCAGCGGGGCGAAGGTTACTAGTGATCGGTCGCGACTGCTGCTGTGCTAGGCCTGGTGCGCCAGTCCCGTGAACGCCCATAGCACCGCTGGGATTTCTTCTATTGTGCAGAGCACTTGATGTAGGATCGAGCTCCGCGTCTTTAGGCCAGGTCGCTCTTCTCTCCTCACCCATTCCCGCAGGCCGCTTCAAGGTACCGCATCTCGAATCCGACGCCGGCGCATTCGACCTTATACGCATATTTTGTATTGGCAATGTATCGAGGATATGGAGTGGATCGTCCGCTGTGTTATCTACGGTCGAGTCGACACCTAGCGCTTCTCTTGTTTGTTCCTCTCTTAAATTCCATGCGGGGATATGCTGGCGCGCGCCCGGGGTTGGCGGTTGACCGTAATGCGACGATCGCTGTCTTTGATGCGAATTTGGCTTGAAATTGGGAGCCAATGGTGGACTGATCATGCCAGTAATACTACCATCGCCTTGCGAGAATCGGAAATAGTCGTTAACCTTTCCGGACCCGAACGTTTGCTTGGGGGATGGCGTTTGCGGGTTGAAGGTCAAATTAGATCTTGCAGAAACATCGCATACAGCTGGTTGGAGTTGTAATGATGCCGCATTCGAGTTTCTTCGCCGCGCTGCGATTGAGGGCGGCTCTGGAATCTCCTGTCGACCTCGGAGGTACGACGAGGGACTCATAACCTGCCAACGAGTCGTCGAGACTCTTAGACGAAATATACGACCCAGACTTGATTTTTTGGGGATTTTTGGGATTTTTGGGCGTCAACCGTCGTGATGGTGGAATCCAAGTGGGGCTCATTACAGTAGCTCTATTTGGCTCCATTAGGCTCCAATTGCCGGCCCTGCCGATTCGAACCAAACAACATTGTAACGATTTTTTCAAGAAAAATGTGGGGCTCAGACTCGGAATTTTGTGATTTTAGGGTGTTTATCTAGACCTGATCTGGCGCAGGAGCCAGCGTCTTACGTGGACGAGATTCAGCGACACCAAGCTTTTTTGACAACAATCAAAGTTCATCGTCAATCACCCCGACAGTATATCGTAATTTATTTGTCATGATCTGGAGCGATTAGTACCTAACAAGTAACGCAATTTGTTTGCTTGCGGCCAAGAAAGGAAAAAGCCCAGCAAGCAATCGAACACAGACGTCGTCACACGACCCACCAGCATCCTATATTCAGCAAGACTTTTTTATCGCCTTCCTTGGAGCGGCCTTTTTTCGCACACGGTTCCATTTAACAGCTCGCTGAGCCTGTAGCTCAGTGCGGTCTCCACCACCGGGCACTGCCGACAAGAACGAGGAAGATAATGAGGAACAAATGGTGTTCGAGAAAAAGCTTGCATTCGGACGCTGTAAAACCGCCTGATGGCCGCGAGCCTGGTGGCCTGTCCCATTGAAACCTCGGACGCTGCGCGTGTTCTGTGAACACTCCAGTCTTAGCCTACAGCGAGCCCAATGTTCTGAGATAGTGGCGGCCCGCTGTAGGCTAAGACTGGAGTGTTCACAGAACACGCGCAGCGTCC